CAATCATAGTAAATTTAATTATTCACTGAAACGCTTAAAGCTACCACTACTACTTGACAATCAAAATTTTTCATCTGACAGTTGCGGTTTTGTCGAAGTTGACAAAATTAGGTGACAAAAAAGTTTAAAATTGTTGTAGAGCTACTCCAATGGAACACATCATGAACTTTATCATTTTTGCAGCAGCTATCATTGTGATCATCCGTCAATTAGTAAGTAAACTGTCACTTAGAGGTGCATTGATTTAAACCACTGATAAGTAGACAAACTGTAGGGTCGTTGATGGACAATGTCTTTACTGATGATGAATTGCAAACTCATCAATAGTGGGTGCATAAATGTTGGTTGACCTAATTGAAGACTAAATCGTAAAATATAAATTAAGATTTGAAATTAATCTGTAACTTCAGTTGTCCATAGAAATAATTCTTGTTGAGAGTATTCTTTATTCTTTCGCAGAAAATTTAAAAAACTTAATTCTTGAAGAGTAGAAATAAATTCAATTTTTGGTTCAAATTAATTATGTGGGAAGCATCAATTGAAATATGCAGTTTAAGTTTTGATTTTCAGTTCACTCTGTCCTTGAAATGCAACATGACATGATTTATCATTTTCGGTTAATTTTCCCAAATGAACTGTACAATTTTTATTGGAGCAATATCTGAATTAAAAATTTTTTTTTTTTGAGAAATTTCTTTTTCTTCACAAACTATTAAACCAATTTTGAATCAAAAATTAGCATATCGATAAATTGAGAAGAAAGAAAAAACTGTAAATTGTTATTCATGAAGATATCAATTTTATGATAGTAATATCACTGTGTAGAAATGAAATTAATTTGTCAAAAATTTATCGGAATTTAAATTCGTAATTTACAGAGATTTGAAAGAATATAAGAGGATGTTTGATATAATTAAATACTTTTATTTATTTTTTAATTAAATACCTTTATTTGTTATTTATTTATTTATTTATTTACTTTTTTTTTTGCTATCTTGAAATAAGTGTCATTCCAACATTTAATGTCCAATCGGTATTCATTAGCTAAAGTATGAATAGGGTAACCTTGTCCAAATTACCTTACCTAATTGGTGTCGTGCATGATTTGATAATTTTTAATTTATTATTTTGGGAGAGATTTTTTTGATTCGCTGGATGTAGATGTAAATTTGTGAGGTAACAGAGGAATATATAATAATTCCTTTATTAGCAGAAGTAATAGTACAATAATTTAATCGAGAACAATTGAAATTGAACTTTCCTGATTCTTGGTAAAAATTAAAAGAGTAATCAATCAGTCTAACAGAGAGCCGTTGTACTGATTTACAATCAAATCTATTTATTAATTAATAAACCGTAAAGGATATCAATTAAGCAAAAGTTATTAACCTCATAGATTCAAAAATAATTTACACATTAGTGGCGACACAACAATAAGATCAACTAAATGAGAAGCTGATATCATGTAAACAATGTAAAAAAAAAAAAAAGTTTTACAAGTTAAACATAAGATTGAAAACAAAGAGTCCAAAGTATAAACAAAAAAAAAAATTTCACAAAACATATTTCTTACTTATATTCACAGAACTGTCAATATAATTAATATTTTAGAGTTTTGCGTTATTAAAATTTGTGACAAATGGCCAATTTCATTTTAACATAAACCGAGCAACAAAATTCTTTTTTTTTCTTTCAAAGAAAAAAATATTTGATAATATCAGCAAGACGAAATAGTAAAATAAATGAATTGAACTATATTTATGTTAATGATAGCAATGATAACAATAACAGTTAATCAATAGAATGCAAAAAAAAATTTGAATTTATTCTCTTACTAATTTATCAAATTTATTTCTTTCTTTATGAAAAGTAATAATTAGTAGAAGTAAAATGTAAAATGTTAGGAAAGATTTCGAATATTCCAACCTGAATTGTATGATTTGTTAGCACTTTTTGACGTAGTATTATTGCGCACTGTACACGTATATGAACTTTATAAAAAAATTTTTCCTTTTAATTTATTATTTATCAATTAGTTATTTAATTTTACATTTATATTTATCCTATTATTTATCAAATAATTGGCATAATTAATTAGTTAAGATTAATTTAAATTAGTTAATTAGTTAGTTATAATTAGTTAAGATTAATTTAAAATTATTCAATCAATTAAGTTATAATTAGTTAAGATTAGTTAAGATTAATTTTTTAGTTATATTTATTAGTTAGTTAAGATTAATTTAAAATTATTCAATCAATTAAGAGAATATCAATAAAATTTGTTTCACTGATATTAGTTAAATAATATTTGATTCAAATTTAATGCTAAATATTGCATTATTATAGTGAATAGCTTGCTGAATATAATAAATATTCGATTAGTGATAAGATTAAAACTCTAATGAAATGTCTTATCAATTTATCAGTGCACAAAAGGGAAGGAAAACGAAATTTAACATAACTTTTCTTTTTTTTTTTTTAAATTAAATACTGGAATTGGTAGCTTAATTCACTCTCTTGTTTGTTTTTATTTTATTAAAAGTTAAAATTGTTCTTTTTCCTTTGCGTACTTCAAAAAAAAAAAAAAAAAATTTTCAAAGATGTAATTCGATGCTAAATTGTTGAATTTAAATTTACGATACTTTTAATTAGCATAGTTAGACATAGACATATTGTGTAGAATTTTTTTTTTTTTTGTTCTATTTCACTTTTTTATTTAATTTTAAAGTTTCACAGAAAAAAAAAAAATTGCAAAAATATGAATGAGTAGTAAATTATGTTAATTTTGTATTGTTAAAATGGCTTTTCTTTTGAAATAATTTGCTAAATGCGAAAAATTATTATTTGATAATCTTCGAGAAGCAAAAGTTTAATCATTATTTGAGAAATTTTAAGCACTCTTTTCATCTGTTCTCAATTTAATCCTAATTTAATCTTTAAATTCAAATAAATATACAATGGAAAGTAATTTCTGTGTATAAATTATCTCAGAAATTATTACAAATTTTTAGTTAAAAAAATTATATGCTTTTCTCTTCTTTATTTTTCTAACTTTGATAGTTTCAATTTCTTTGATAAAACATTCTGCAATAATAAAATAAAATAATAAAAAGAATAATTATCAGTTATCAACACTTCCATAAAAGTAATCATCCTTTTTTTTTTTTTTTTTTTTTAAAAAAAAATGAAAAAGTTTTATTGAAATTAATGAAATTTCACACTGTTAATCTTTTGTTTTGAAAATTTTTTAAAATTTATTTAGAAAAAGTTTGATTTTGTAGAATTCACACAAGTTTTTCTTAAATTAATTCACTTCTTTATGTCTTTTTTTTTTTCTTTGATTTTGTTTAAAAGAAAAAATTTTATTTCGAAAAAACTTTTTAAAAAAAGAAATTCAAAAAAAAGAGCTTTAAATAATTTTTAATAGAAAAAATTTTGAATACATTTTGAAATTTAAATAATTTATTTAAAATCTATTATTCCTCAATAAGTTTACTGCAAGTAATAATTTGTTATATTAACGATAGTTTTTCCAATATTATTTTTTTTTAATTTTATTTTTTTTCATATTATAAAATTGGTATATTTTCTATTTCAGATACTTTAACTTAATACTATTAAATCCTTTGCAGAATGAGCCATTCTTCAAGTGGTTCAAATGCGCTTATAACAGATTAGAACTTCTCCCTCTTTTATTTTAAATTTGACTTCTGAGTTACTTTTTTGCATTATTTTAGTTCTTTCCAATATTTGAATTGAAAAAAAAAATAAATGAATTGATTGGTTGATTGAACTCAATTACTCAAATAATTTAATTTAAATCAGAAAAAGATTTTATAGTAAAATAAAGAATGAATACTCATTATGAAATTATTAAATTTTTTATTAAATAAGTAAAACATAATTTTAACTTACTGTTTGTTTTTCATATTTTCAAAATGAATTTAATTTTATTTTTATTCATATAATTTTATCTTTAATTCATTTTTTTTTCTAATGTTGTCATGATAATTTGCAATGAGATGACTGACCTTGCAGAGACACAGTAGGAGGGAAAGAGGTAAAATGAGATTGGAGACAATTCTGTCAAGAAGGTTTATTTGATATCCAATCTATTTTAAATCTTATAGAATGCATTTCTTAGCTGTCATCTTAAATTAAGTTTAAGAATTCTCAATTTTTTTCTCCCAGATGGGAAAATTAAAAATCCAAAAAAATACTCATAGCAATTTTGTTAACTTGACATTATTGTAAATTGATGATGTTTCTTTTTAAATTTTCTTAAAATTTACCACTCTCATTCCCACATTTATTTATTACTTTCTCACTAATTAATGATTCCATTGATCTATGCAAAATATAATACAATGAAAGGTGAAATTATTAAAAATAATCGATTATCATAAATGTCATCTTTAATCATTGCTTATCATATCATATCACACACACACACACACAGTTTAGCTAACTTATTTTTGTCTATGAAAATAGTTTCAAATTGATTTAACCATTTCTAAAGTTTGAAATAAACTAGTATTTTTTTTTTTTGCATTTAAATTCAAATTGGAACCACCTTGCAACGCAGAACTTTTTTTTTTAAAATACATTATCTTTTTATGTTTATTGATTTGATTATTTCTTGTTGATTAAATATTTCAGATGATATTGTCTAACAAATTTTGAATCAATGATCGGTTATTTAAATCAAATTGTACTTTGTAAATTTGCTTAATCTACTAATGGCCAAGCATTAATTCTGAGCCAAGCATAAATGCTTTTGCTGATATTGATTAGTCTCGACATTTCTCAAGAATGCTTCAACTAGTGTATACCTCTTTTGAACTTGAGCTTACCTTAAATTCATTTACTAGTCTTCTTGCCATCTTTGACTATATAGATCAAAGCTTAACTTTATCAATACTATGCTTACTTATATTTTATTCTAAATTAAGTTATATTCGAAATATGAATATATAAGTTAAACTGAACCAAATCGATAAATGAGTGGAAGGTATCATTGCTATGATCAAATTACTTTGATATTTTTAAATTGTCTATCGGTCGTCATACTATGTGCTACACAACATCTTTGTTTCCAGTGTTCAGATCCAAATATCGAAGTGGTTTGTATAAATTTTTCTCAAATTCAACTTTTTCTCTTTTTTTTTTTTTTTGAAATTTAATTTCTAGAAAATAACATCTTTGCAGAGTAGAGAATTATTTCAATATTTAATTCAAATAAATCCTACCTACACTCTTTCAGAAAGTTGAAAAATGGAATAAAAATTAGCTCCTTCCTTAATAATAGAATAAAAATATTTCATTTCCATCGCAGATGTAATGCATTACAAGATAAGGCTAAGTAAAATGAGCCAGAAGTTAAAAAAAAAAAAAAAAAAAGAGTAAATGTAACAGTAGGACAGAGAGGAAGGAATTTAGCCTCAAAAAAAGAGCCCAAAGTATTTACCTTTTTTTTTTTCTTTTTTGATATACTAACTTAATAACATATTTACTTACTGCAAAACTTCTAATGAAATTGGAGCAATTAATTTAAATAAATTATAGCATTATGGAGCATTTTTCAACAATCCAAGAATTCTTCAAGATAGCAGTAGTGAAAATGAACGACAACCGAAATGTGAATCAGGAAGAAAGGCCAGAATTCAAATATGTCGTGATCCGTGCTATACGTTAAATGTTACTACATTTGATATCAAAACTGAACAATTTCTATTGTTCGGTATTTTTTTTTTTTTTTTTTCAAATAACAACAACAATTATTATTATTTCTTTCTTTTTTTTTTTTTTTAAATAATATTATAAAGTAAATAAATATTACAAAGTGTATCTGACATAGTAGTATCTCAAAGTACTGTTTCATTTTACGATTAAATCTATTTAATATAAATACTAAAAATTATTTGAATAAATTAGAATAATTATTAAATCAATATTGCTGATTATCTTGATCGATCGATAATCAATATTGTTGACTATCTTGCTATCGATCGATAATCAATATTGCTGATTATCTTGATCGATCGATAATCAATATTGCTGATTATCTTGATCGATCGATAATCAATATTGTTGAGTATCTTGCTATCGATTGATAATCAATATTGCTGATTATCTTGATCGATAGATCGATATAGCAACAAATAGAAGTGAAGTTTACCGGAAACAAGAATAATTCAAATCCATTATTTACAGGTATGTCACACGGTTGTTCAACATTAATTCTTCCACCAAGCAAAATCCGATCCAGTGGTTGCTATCAGTCAAATATTCTATTAAAAACTACACCTGCACATCCGTTACAAACTCAGTATTGTTTTTGCACCAGTGATTCATGCAACATTATCAGGCCTGCAAATGCAATGATGCATGTTGATGCTTCAAGATTTAAAGAACAGGAAATTAAACCGGTGGTCATTCATGATTACACAGTACCTAATATCATTTCCGGTTCCATAACAAAAAGTGTACATCTTTCTGATACTTTTCTCTTACTATTTGTACTGATAAGATAAGATAAGATATTACTTATATCTTTCAATTGTATCCTTTTGTTGTACTTCAAAATTTGCCATTGTAAGGGAAATATTAACAGTCTAATTTGAAATTCCGTAGAAAATTTTTTAAAAGCTATTCGTATCTTATTGCTTATTGCTAAAAATATAGGAAATACTTTGGAAAAAAAAAAAAACAAATAAATAGAACCAGGAGAAAATGATAAGAGCAAAAGATTAAAATAAATTTGAATTTTAATAAATATTTATTCATATTTATTGTTTTTACACATTAACAAATATATTTGTCAATAATATTTTTCTAATTAACTAAAACATATTATATTTACTTATTTCATATTTTCTTTTTTTTTGCTAATATTCATTGAACAATTTTATGCATAGTTTTCTCAATCAAATTTTCACTCTTTCAAGATTAAATTATAAAATAAAAATAAGATCAATTAATTTCGAATAAATTACAACGAAATTAAAATTAATATTACAAAAAATGAAATAAATATTGTTATGTTTAAGTTTTATTTCAAAAAAAAAAAAAAAATGAATGAATAATTTTATGCTTCTTTAACTAATGGCTTATGATCTTCACGTGTACGACAGCCATGTATTGTAGTCCAACATTTCTCACAATAATATTGCAAACAAGAAAGTTGTGGACAGAAGAATGGTGCATGTCGATGTCCACAACGTTCACCGTCACATTCATCGCATGGCTGATCATCCAATACATAAGGCTTTAGCTCAACCTTTAATAGCTTTCAATTACTTTCTAACCAATTATTTAGTCTAAAATTTAATGCACAAATCATTTATACTTACTCGTTTCTCCACTTCACCATGACTTAATTGCACATAACGATCGGTAATTGCTTTCATATATGAATTTTGATTTGTAAATGCTATACGACCAGCACCTGCAAAAAGCACTTTACTCTATTTAATAGTTTAATTTTCATTTTAAAGATTATATACTTCAAATTTTTAACAATTTTCCAAATAGTGCATTAAAAACAAAAAAAAAAAAAAAAAATAACTTTATAAATTAATTTTTTTCAAATATATAATTTATAATTTTAATTTTAAAATAATTTAATTTAAATATAATTTAAAAATAATTTTTTTTTATAATAAATTTATAATTTAAAATTTTTTTTATAACAATATAATTTAAAAATATCAAGTGTTAATTAATTAATTAGATAGCAGTACTAAAATAGTTGAAATTAAATGACTGATAATAACAATAATTTACCTTTTGGATATTTGTATTCAACATCAGTGTCAATACCAGCACATCCAACACTACCATATAAGCGATCCATTATATGTGCTAATTCCACTAGAATGAATCATTCATTATAGCTAATTTCAAAAAAAAAAAAAAAAAAAATGTGAAATGATTTAAGAAAAGAGTTAAAATTAAAGGCTAAAGGCTTAAATTAACCTGCTTTAATGGGTCGTGGTACTCCACCAACAAAGACAGTTCGTCGAGCGTATAGTGGAATGCTTGCTTCAACTACATAATCTGCATCTGCAAGACGCCAAGGTCTAATTTGTACCTAAAAAAAAATGAAAAGAATATTTACTATCTATTATTGATAAATAATTTTGATAAAATTTTTGTTACCCAAAGATTGTGACAAATTACAGTGTTAATAAATAATGATCAGTAAACGGAATAATTTCTATAATAATTCTTGTAAAATCAAAAACAAAAAAAAAAAAAAAAAAATGAATTGAATTTATTGTACATCTAAAAATAAACTTATCTAACCAATTTATCAGGTGATAACGGACTTGAAATGTACAGGAAGAGTTTCTCATCCTCTACAAAACAAGACTGTACCAATGCTCGTACGCTAACTTCGTATTCGAAGATTAGAAATACGTAACCTGAATTGAAACATTACTGTGAAATTCTAAAGATGAAAGAAATGACCAATTTATAATCAAATGTAAACATTAAAAAAAAAAAAATATTAAATTAGATTGATAAGAAATAATTTGATACTTTCTTTTTATCACTGATTAAACAATCAAATGAAATACTTAAGAATTAAATACCTTTAGGAGGAAAGTAACTTTTATTTTCATTTTTATTTGGCCAATCCACAATCAAAGGACCGAAACGACTGAAAGTAGCCGTAAGTTCGTCTGAAAATTGTTAATTCAATTTTAAAATGATAAATTGCAATTTTATTGCAAATTTTTAGAACCAGCAAATATAACGAATACTTTCATCAATATCAATTGGTAGTCCACCGACGAATACTTTTCTTGAATATATTTCCGGTCCTGGACTATACTGATAATAGAGATCAGATTTCATTGCGCGGCTAAAATTTAAAAATAAAAAGTTTAGTTATATTTCCTTTTATCAATAATTTGAATATCAGAATTACTTCTATACTTTTTAATAAAACAATTATTTAACAAAACAAAACTAATTAACAAATAAATTATAAGAAATTTTAATATTATACACTCTTGAATCATACATTATTATTATGTGAGTTTTTTTTTTTTTTTTTCACTTAGATTAATTTATTTTTTAATTTTAAAAATTAAAAAAATAGAAGAAAGAATATTAATACCATATTCCATTAGCTTGTTGATTAGATGGAGTATGAACACTTCCAGCACCACAGTCTAAATCAAATGAACCAGGATGAGAGAGAGCACGCTTGATACCCTATGAAATTTCAACAAATTTATATTGAAATTAATTTTTTCTCTTTTTTAGTTTGTTAAAAAATATAATAAATACTTTAATTATTCTAATTAGTACTTTTATCATAAATAATATCATTGCAAACTTTTTCATAAATACATTCCATTTCTTTAACAATTAAAAGTTATTTTTTTTTCAATTCCATTAAATATTATGTAATCAAATTATAAAATTTCATTTATTTTTTTTCACTTTTTCACCTCTTCAGAATTAAATTCAACCACTGCTACCATTTCACTAATTCATTCATCTTGAAATGTAAGTTTAATTGTTGCACATACTTTGTTGAATTATCACACAGTATTGACTGATAACTGATTATATTTTAAGAATTTTTCTTAAAATTTCTTTTTCTCAATTTTTTCATTAACATTTATGCGACTCGTAGTTTTATTTATCATATATTTTCTCACTCTAATAGCATTTAAATGTTAGAATAAACAGAAATAAAAAAAAAGAAAAAACAGACAAAAACAATAGTACTATTAAAAAAAAGTTTAAGATTAAATTAAAGTATAGCAATATTACTTTGCATAAGTATTGATAATATTCGTAGTACTTTTGATCAGTCCATAATTGTCCTTGACGACCAAAAGTTGTCTTGATATGATGTAGATCGGTGGATCGATGAAAATATTCATCCATTAGATCACGTTGTTGTTGTTGATGCATAAACTCTTCATCACGTCCGTGTGTTGATTGTTCTGATTCTGTGTTCGTTGTTGTTGCTATAATTTAGATATAATAGAATACTGATAAATGATTAAAGTAATTACTGAATTTTGATAAGAACCATGCTACAAATTATTATTTATCAATTGTTTAAAAAAAAAAAAAAAAAAAAAAAAAACTTATCAATGAGACAATTGTGTTACAATTGTAAAATCAATATATATTATATTGCTTGAAATTTCAAATAGTAATTCAAAAAGGAAAATTTTCCAAATTTTCGAAATGTTGATTTTTTCAAGAATTTTATGAAACTTTAAAAAAAAAAAAGTAACTTACATGTTTTAGTTTTCACTTGAGATTGTGATTTATCATTTTGTGGTATATATGAAAATGTAGTTGATGTAGGTTTCACAAAATGGGAGCCACCAACAGGTGCGTTACGATAAATAGCATTTAAAACCTGCGGATTAATGATGATGATAGTAAAAGTTATGATGATGATGGCAAAAGTGATGACGATGATGGCAAAAGTAATGATGATGATGGCAAAAGTAATGACGATGATGATAATGACGCAAAAGTGATGACGATGATGATGATGATGGCAAAAGTGATGAAGATGATGATAATGATGCAAAAGTGATGACGATGGTGATGATGATGGCAAAGGTGATGACGATGATGATGGCAAAAGTGATGATAATGATGATGATGGTAAAAGTGATGACGATGATGATAATGATGCAAAAGTGATGACGATGGTGATGATGTTGGCAAAAGTGATGACGATGATGATGGCAAAAGTGATGATGATGATGATAATGATGCAAAAGTGATAACGATCATGATGATGATGGCAAAAGTGATGACGATGGTGATGATGATGGCAAAGGTGATGACGATGATGATGGCAAAAGTGATGATAATGATGATGATGGCAAAAGTGATGACGATGATGATAATGATGCAAAAGTGATGACGATGGTAATGATGATGGCAAAGGTGATGACGATGATGATGGCAAAAGTGATGACGATGATGATATGGCAAAAAGGGTGATGATGATGATGGTGGTAAAAGTGAAATGAATGAATGACAATGATAAAAAACTAAAATATTATAAATTATCATATGAAGGAAAAAGAGTTTCAGTATAAATTAAAAAAAAAATGAGAAGTCGAATCCATCTTGAAACTAAAAAATTTAATAAATAGTCATCTTTTTGCTTCTTTTCTTTTTCATCAATTCATTTTTTGTTGTTTTATTCGTTGTCTCCAGAAAAGCTATGCAACTTAAAATTTTAGTTGTTAGATAACATAAAAAAGAAAACAATTAATGAAAAAAAAAAAGAAAAGATTTTTGTTTTTTATGCAAGATGGAATCAAAATGCATACCAGAGCTACAAGCAAAATTTTTAGAATTAATGAGGACTAATTGATTATTTTATTTACTTTCTGTCTTTTTCGCATTATCTTGCAATGAAAAAAGTAAACAATAGAATTTGTAATTAAATTGTAATTGAAAATGATAGAAGGATTATATGTTATCAGACAATTTCATGTTTTTAAATGCTTGTAAAAATTTTTGTGAAAATTTTTTGCGATAGTTAGAAGAGAAAGAAGAACAAAATTTTTTGCTTTGTTAGAAAATTTAATTAAATCATTGATTTATCAAAAAATAAATTCTTGCATTTAATCTAAAATAACAAAAAGTAATGAATTCTTTTTTTTCCTTTAATGAATTTACATAAATTTATCTTAACTGATCGCTAAACAATATCTAAATTCAAAAATAAAATGAAAAAAAAAAAAAAAATGTTAACCTCAAGAGCTGTAAAATCACTACGATTCAATAAGGAAGTTTGAGCGGTAAATGTTGATGAAGTAATTCGATTTTTGAAATTATCAAATGTATCTGTTCTATGAGTAGTTGTACCTTCATTTTGTTTCATTTCATCAATTTCTACCAGTTCACCACTCTGTTTCTTACCTTCCAATCCTTAGAATAAATTTCATTCTTTAATTAATTAACTAATATTTAAAAATATATGTAATATTTCTAGATTTATAAAATTTAGTAACATCTAATGACTTCTAAATGTTTTTTTTTTTTTTTGTTTTCATTTTTTTTTTTTCAATGAAAACATAGAAAATAAAATATTAGCAAACATACGAGCAATTTGAGTTGTATCATCATCATAATTATCATCAGAATCAAATTCATGTTGAATTGGAATTGCTTGAAATGTTTTAACAATTGTCGTATTTGGTCCAAAAAGTGATTGTGCTAATTCCAACGCTCGACTGATAAGTTTATTTTCTGGCTCAATCGATGATGATGATGATAAGATTTGTGATGATAATGATACTGATTCCTGCAGCAGAAGCATTCATTCTTCTGCAAGATGCAAATAGAAAGTAGTAAAATTATAGTTTCATCCAGATACACTGCAAAATGCTCTCGATAATATTCTTAATTATGTCAAATATACTAGCGATTATTCATTATTAGCTTCAATTTAAGACATTTTAATTTCTCTTCAAATATCACCTCAATTTGAGAGTGATTATTGCACTTCGAAATATTTTTATCATTTGTTGATTGTCGTATACTGTCACCTTGTTCTTTACTGATAGCATTCATTAATGATTCATTAACATCTGATACGGTTCCTGTGCTATCCGATAGTAAATCATTGTCGAGACCTGCATTGCTAATTAACGATATGAAACTATCGTCACCTTTTTGTCCATTTATTGCTGATGATAACGAACACGTTGACGTGGATTTACTATGAATCTAAAAATTTAACTGCATTTAGTACGCCAATTAAGTAAGAAAAAAAAATTAAGAATAATTAAAGTAATAATTTAAAGTAATACCGATTAATTCACTTAGCTTTCAATTCTTGTTTTTTTTTTTTTTTTTTTTTTTTTTTTTTTTTTTAACTTTATTATTACTATAGTTGTATATGAGTGATAGTCAGATGTTTAAAGATTTTAAAAACGATTTAAATTTTGAAAGTTAAATTTTTAAAAAATTCTTATTGGCTTACATCATTTGTTGATGATGAATCAGTAGTCCAAAAGTAGTGATCTGTAAACATTTGATTGTAACGCCGTGTAGGTAAATGTCGTTTTGTTGATGGCTTAGACTGTTCGGACATTATGAAAATTTTATTCTAAATCAATCCTAAAAAATTCAGAAAATTTTTACTTTCTAATATCCAAAAAAAAAAGATTAAGCAAAAATTATTTATTGTTTTATTTATTATTTCTAACACAAATAGCATCAAATCCGTTTTCCTAGAATATACGAAATTGCAGAAAAAAATTAAATCATTCACTACCAACCGTTTTCACTGATGAAAAATTTAGAAAATGACAATTATAGATGACATTTAGATATATTATAAATAATAAATTTAAATATTTTATATGTAAATTTATCATCAGAGAAAAATTTTTTAACTTACATTTAACTTTTTTCCTTTCTTTTTCTTTGTATATTTAAATTAGCAACTTTTCACTCATTTTTTTTCCTCTTTTTTCCTCATATTTGTTATTTTTAGTGCTTTTTCTATTCTAACATTCTGAAAATTGTAATTTATTTAATCAAAAAAATTTACCGATAAGATAAGAATTATCAATGACAATGATATTTAAAAAGTTGAAAGTACAAAGTCGAGAATTCACAAATGTGTCTGCCTGTTTAAGATAAGTAACAAAAGATATTTTATAGTTACTTTACTTCTAAATTCTCGACACAATCAGAAATTATTTGCACTTCTATGATGGCTTGAAATTTATATGTAAATTTGCTATCTGAAAATATAATTCTCATCCATACTCTTCGAGAATGTCCAGAAATTAACTTTCCTAACTCTTTTTTTTTAACCTTATCTTTTTGTTTTGCTAAATTATATTGCTTTTTGTCAGTAGATAAAATTTACATACAATTTACAAATTCTCAAAATATACCACAAAATTAGGAATTCAGCTATTTTTGACTTATTTCATCAATCCTTTGCAATTTTTCAATAATAAAATATATTCTCGATAAACAGTAAACTTTGTGTCATATTTTCGCTTATATCAAATATCAACAACTTGGCTGGAAAAATTTTTAAAATTGATTAGATATTTTCTTGGACAATAATAAATACTGTCAAGTATCATAATTTATGAAATAAAATAAATTTAAATTTCATCTATAGCTATACTAAATTCTGGAACAACATTTTGATTGATTGAAGAATTCGAAAAAATTAATGAAGTTAATAAAATGATTAGCATTTATCTTCACATGAACGAACTAAAGTTCATTTTCATATTTTCTCATCTATGCTAAAGAATGAAATTTAAAATTAAATTTCATAAATTAAACTAATTCTTTTAGCTATTATCAATTTTGCATACTTTCAACTTCCATTGAAATTATTATTTCTAACTGTTAATAACAACAATTTGTACATACAAAAAAAAAAAGAAAAAGAAAAAATTATTATCTGATGCAGCGTACAAAGTCCATGAAACAAACAGTTCTGTTTTCATTTTGTAAAGAAACTACTCTGATGTTTAGGTGATAAGTGATAAGTGATAACAGCAGATTAATCATTGAAGAATTTTCTCGTTGTAAACAAGACGAATATACATGAGAATCAAACACTTTGAATGAATAATTTTCGATTGCTCAATAAGCTAACAATGATGATAACTAGCAAAGGCAAAAGTTATTTTTGCATTGCTCTAATTTTAGCTTATCAGCAAGAATTGAGCATAATGATAAGAGAATAATCAGTATTACACATTCTTATTATCCATTGATTTCTTTCTTTCATTTTTATTAATTGCAAAAAAATTTCAATCCTTCTTAAAACTATTTGCATTAATCCTTTATCAGTTGTTCGCTCTTCGTTCTGTACATATTGGTCTCAAATTTAAAACTTCAATTTCTTTCATTTTTGATTTTTAAAATATGCATTGTAATCTTTTGATAAAGTTTTTGCTACAATTTCTATCCTATATTATATATTCTGTATGCACAAATAATATTACCCGAAAATTTTTGCTTGTTTACCCAAAATAGTAAATTAAAGCTAAATTAAGCTTCTGCTTATCAAATTCTAGCAAAAATAAAACTTTTTATATTATCAAAATTTCAATTTTTAACAAGCTTGATTCATCTGAATGGGTAGTACTGAACGGTTATTTCTATCTTCATTTCATTTTAAGCTCATTTCATATTAACTTGACCTAAGGATGACCTCATAATAAACAGAAATAACAATAAAAATTGATTTCCAAAAATCATTCTAAAATAATTTTTTTTAAACTTTGGAATTTTTTCAAAAAAAGCTTTTGAATTTAAAGCTATGCAAAAAATGCATTATAAAACAATTCATTTCTTATTAATTTCCTTTTTTTTTTTTTTTTTTTTAAATAAAAGCAAAAACTTTTAGGAATATAAAAATAAAAAGATATTAGCATAATGTCACCAATTTCAAGGATAGAAAGCAATAAAGCTGGAAAATTGGCAAACGATGATTATGATTTGCAGTCAGTAAGCATTGAAAAGTAATAATTAGAAGTTCGGAAATTTTATATCGAAATGTCTAATTATCAGCATCCTTGCTTTTTTCATTTAAAACTTGCAAAATTTATATTTGTGTCAATTTTTTTTTTTTTTTTATTGCAAAATTATATGTTATAGGCGGTTAAATGATGATTCCGGATGGAGAACGAATTTAAAAAATAGCAACCGGAAAAATGAGATGAAAATCAGTACAAAACGAATGCCTTTCTTATCGATTGTTTGTTTATTTATTTATTTTTTTGATTTTAAAATTTGAACTGTCCTTTTGGTTTTTTTTTAAATTTTAGAATTTAAACTTTTTTTAAAATAACATTGTTTTATTAATGATTTCAGTATCGTTATGCGAAACCATTCGATTATTTCTTATTAATAACTGGCATTTTACTGAGCATAGCTCAGGGTAGTTTACAAGCTGTTCAATCAATTATCTTCAAAAGATTATCAGACACACTGATCAAAGGTCAAACAAAATGGGGAACAGAAGAATTTGATGAATTGAAATTTCATGATGGAGCAATGGAAGCTATCTTTATGTACTTCGGATACGGTATTGCAATTCTCATCCTAGCAACTATTTCTGTAAGTATTTTATTTACAGATACTTACAGATGAGGAATTGTTTAAATATTTATACTATTATAATTTATACAATCATTTAAGAATGATACATTCAATTACACAAATAATTTTAGTGGTATTTCGTAAACTGTTATAATTTTAAATCATTTAATCGATTAATCCAATCACAAATCAATCAAATTTGACAATAATTATTAGAGATAAACCGAATTCTATTCATCATTTTGCTATAAAAATTTGTCTTTTTTAATAAGAATTGTACAGCATTCTTCATCAGACTGATTAAATTTTAATTATCTGTCTAAATTTCAATTAAATTTTAATTATTTATGTGTAATTATATATCTATGTTATTTTAATTATCTGTTTCAATTTCAATTAAATTTTAATTATTTATGTGTAATTATATGTCAATGTTATTTTAATTATCTGTTTAAATTTCAATTAAACTTTAATTATTTATGTGTAATTATATATCAATGTTATTTTAATTATCTGTTTAAATTTCAATTAAACTTTAATTATTTATGTGTAATTATATATCAATGTTATTTTAATTATCTGTTTAAATTTCAATTAAATTTTAATTATTTATGTGTAATTATATGTCAATGTTATTTTAATTATCTGTTCCCTATTTAATATTAATTTGACTTTAAAAATATTAAATTTTGATTTTCAATTTCAAACTTATAGATGACTTGTTGGCATACAATTTGTGAACGACAGATTTATCAAATTCGTAAACGTTATTTTGCGGCCGTACTGCGACAGAATATGGGTTGGTTCGATTCGCATCCATCCGGTGAATTGATAACGAAAATGTCTGAGTATGTACTATGCAGGATTTCAAAATTGGATTAACAAGTTAAAATTACTGAATCCGGAAGAAAAAGATTTTTAAACAAATTAAAATTAGTGAGTCCGAAAGAAAAAAATTTTTAAACGAGTTAAAATTACTGAATCCGGAAGAAAAAAATTTTTAAACAAGTTAAAATTAGTGAATCCGGAAGAAAAAAATTTTTAAACAAGTTAAAATTAGTGAATCCGAAAGAAAAAAATTTTTTTTTGCTAACTTTTTTTTTTTTTTTTTTACAATTAAAAATATTAATTCATACATACAGCAGAAAAAAAGATTTCTTTCAAATTCTAAAATATACATAATTGTATCAAAGATGACAAGAAGTATAATTGGAAAAATTATAGGTACAATTTAAAAGTCTAATTTAGGAATATAGCAAAAAAGTTAAAATAATTTTTAAATTTGTAAAATTTGTTTTAATATTAATTTTTCTTGTTGAATTTTAATATGAATTAAATGTCTGCAATAAAATTTAGTGTTTTTATTTTAGTGGAATTGATAGAATAAAAGATGGTATTGGTGATAAAGTGGGTATTTTATTTTCAAATGGGACAGCATTTATCGGTGGAATAGTTGTTGCATTCATATGCAGGTAAATTTCAAATTATTTTTCCATGCAATTTTATGAGAAAAAGAAAAAAAAAAAACAAAAATGAAAATTTTTGAAAAAAAAAAAACAAAAATTTGAATCAAATTTTCTCTCTTCTAAGAGCAAAAAATCGAAATTTTTATTTTTCTTTTCTTTTTTTTTACATTCATTTTTGTAAAATATCATTCAAAGAAGACTAACTTTTATAATTACTTAAATGAAATTTAGTTAACATTAAAATAAAATTTTAATATTTGAAGTAGGCTTCCTAATTATTTACTTATTCTCTTATGATATTTTTTTAAAAAAAAAATTTGTTTTCTTTTTTTTTTTTCAGTTGGGGAATGACACTAATAATGTTAGCTTTTATGCCGATTCTGGCTGGATTAATGGCTTTCTTGACAAGAGTAAGTTATTCTCTCTCTCTCTCTCTCTCTTGTCCTCTCTCTAAATAAATTTTTTAAATTATAATGAGGAACGGATAATCTTGCTGAAAGTTTTGTTCTACATACAAAAATCTTCAGATCAATAAAAAAAAAAACTTCTGGAAGAATCATTTCAATCAATCTAATATTCTATTTGTAGATTATTTGATATCATTCAAATAAAAAATTAGGGTTAATTTCTTTGAAAATTTCAATTAAACAAAAATTGAAATATTAAATTCAATTTATTAATTCAGTTCGTTTCAACCAGTGTACGAAAGGAATTACATGCATATGAGAAAGCAGGTGCAGTAGCTGAAGAAGTAATTGTTGGAATTCGAACAGTTATAGCTTTAAATGGTCAGAAGAAGGAAATTAATAGGTTTTATTTTTTTATAATTTTTTTTTTTTTAATAATAAAATAAAAATTTATTTTATAATAATTTTTTTTAATTAATATTTTAACAATATCTATCAAATTTTATAAAAATTTATTTTTTAAACATTTCTTTTTTTTTTTTTTCAATTTCTCTTTAAATTTTTGATAAGTAAATGATAAAATTTTCCCATATTTTTAAATATTTTAGAAAGATGAATTTATAAGCTAACTAAATTGTATTCTTGTATTTTTAACAGGAAAAAACAAATTTTAGATATCAAAATGAATTGAACAAAGCATCAGAGTTCGGTCATCGTAAGGCTTTGTTTATTGCGCTTGCAACTGCATGGCTCTTTTGTCTTATTTTCATTACAATGGGTACTGCATTCTGGTGGGTAAATAAATGTTTAATTTATAATTAAAATTAAATAATTCTTATTCAAAGCTATCATTAAGCAAAATTTTTCTTTTTCTTTTTTTTTTTTTTACATTTCAATTGAATTTAATTAATTGAATTTAGATGAGTAAATCGATAGAAAGAGAGAAGTATAAGAAAATATATTCCAATCAAATTTTGATATTTAAGGTACGGTACAAAATTATACAACGATGGCTTCATTGAGGCAGGTGCGGTATTTGCCACTTTTTGGGCGGCAATAGGTGGTACATTATCACTTGGTATGGCTGTACCACAAATTGGCGCAATAATGACTGCGCAAAATGCAGCTATTTCCATTTTTGAAATTATTGATCGGGTGAGTCATGGAAGTAAATAAGCTTCTAATAAAATGACTCAAAAATTTGCATTGCTTTAAAATGTAAAAAAAGAAAAAAAGAAAAATGTTTTAAAAAAGTACTAATGTAAAAAAATTGAAAAAAAAAATATGTAAATTGTGAATGTAATGATAATTGATAATTGATTACAATCATTAAGTGAAATTGTGTATATTTTGACTAATGTGAATATGACTGCACGTAAGAGAGGACGTGACTTTACGTGAGATTGATAAGTGAAATTGTGTATATTTTGACTAATGTGATTATGACTGCACGTAAGAGGACGTGATTTTACGTAAGAGTGATAAGTGAAATTGTGTATATTTTGACTAATGTGAATATGACTGCACGTAAGAGAGGACGTGACTTTACGTGAGAGAGATTTTTAAAAACGTGAAATTGTGTATATTTTGACTAATGTGAATATGACTGCACGTAAGAGAGGACGTGACTTTACGTGAGAGAGATTTTTAAAAACGTTGGATATTTTTTCAAAGATCATTTCATTTCATCCGTTTATTGCTGAGATCAGGTCATTGATGGTTTATACAGTTCTGGAATCAATTCTTATACATTTACAGATACCGGAAATTGATTGCCAAAGCACAGAAGGGATAAATATAGCAAATCCGAAAGGTGAAATTGAATTTAAGGATGTCCATTTCTGCTATCCTACAAGACCGGATGAAGAGGTTTTAAAAGGAATAAGCTTTAAGGTACTGATTTGACTATAAAATTTGGATAATTTAAAAATTGAAATCAATTATACTAAAGAAATAAAACTCATCATATTGTACAATGTAATCAGGAAAAAACTCTAAAAACAGAGAAATAATTGGAAATGGAAAAGAAAAACTGGAATTTGAATTGATCTGATTTACAATATAATGTTGAATCATTACTCTAAACAAAAAAAAAAAAAAAAAAAATAGGTGAAAGCTGAGCAATCAGTGGCGCTAGTTGGTTCAAGCGGTTGTGGCAAAAGTACTTTAGTTGGTTTACTACTTCGATATTACAATCAAGGATGTGGTGAAGTAAATTATTTTTATGAATATTTAAATTATGAAATGGAGTGCAAATAGAGTTTTGAAATTTCAAAAAAAAAAAAAAAAAAAATTCAATTTTTGACATTTATGACGGAGATTGAAACTGAAAGAATTCTATGTTTATCAAATAAGATTAGTTAGAATTATTACAGACTTTTAGCTATTTGATTATGATTATTTCTGATCACTAATGATCAAAAATTTTTTTTTTTTTTTTTTGGATCACAAAGATTGAAAGTATCTCTTTTGATAATTCCACATGAATAATTTTAGTATTAAATTAACACTTGAATTAGAAGAAATAAAAATCCAGTAGATAGGAGAAAAAGTTTAGTTGACAATAGATGGCATTCCGCTTGATACGATAAATATTCGATGGTTACGACAAATGATCGGTGTGGTATCACAAGAGCCTGTACTTTTTGCGACAACTATTGAGGAGAATATACGACTCGGTAAAATTTCATTTATTAAAATTGAAAAAAAAAAAAAAAAAAACATTGACAAATTTAATAAGAAATTTCTTTTTTTTTTTTTCAAATTTGATTTATTAAGTTCAAATGTAAAAATTTTATTCATACAAAAAATGAATTTTTTTTATTTAGGGAACGAAAAAATGACAAATGAAGATATGAAACGAGTATGTCAGATAGCAAATGCACATAATTTCATTGAAGAACTTCCAAAGGTAATTTTAAATATATCAAAAAAAAATTTATTCCCTAAAAAAAAAAAAGGAAAAAATTATTTTTGTATGAATTTATTTTCGAAATTTTAATTAAAATTTATTTTTCTAAATTATATCATTTCATTTTAGGGTTATAAAACACGTATCGGTGAAGGTGGCGTACAATTATCTGGCGGACAAAAGCAACGTATTGCTATAGCTCGTGCGTTGGTGAAGAATCCAAAAATTTTACTTCTTGATGAAGCTACTACTGCATTGGATACTAAAAGTGAAAAAATCGTACAGCATGCTTTAGAGAAAGTAAACAAAAATTGTTTATTAGGTTTTTTTTTGGCCTAGATTTTTTTTGGCCTAAATTATTGATTGAGTTTATTTTATTTTCAGGCTAGTATTGGACGTACTACTCTTACTATTGCACATCGTCTTTCAACAATTCGAAATGCAGATCATATCATTGTATTGGAACATGGAAAAGTTGTTGAAAAAGGTATCAAAAGTGTGAAATTTAGAAAAAAGTTTCTTTTTTTTTTTTCTTTTAAAATTTATTGAAACAAATTTTGTTTCAAAAAAAGAAATATTAATAATAATAATAATAATCTGTCTTTTTAAGGTACACATGAAGAGTTAATGGCATCTGGTGGAATATATATGAAATTGGTACATGCTCAAAATGTTAAAAAGTTAGCAAAGGAAAATATGCCTAATGCTGAAGAAGTTGCAGGTGTGTGAATTTATCATTTTATAAAATATTTTAAATAATTTTTTTTTTTTTTTTGCTCAGTTATTTCATTGGAATTTAAGAATTTTCGACTTTTGAAGTAATTAGACTAGTGTTGTACCTAAATGAGTTTAGCATTTGTTATCAGAAGTCTGAGCATTCAGAAACTTTCATATAATTTAGAGATGGCTCAAACAGTATTGATGAACTGCTTGTGTCACCTTGAATTAACTAATTAGTAATTAGGCTTTGAAGAGACATACATACAAGCTTAGGCTTTGAGCTTAGATAGGATTATAAGAATTATTTGAAAATCGCTTGAAATAAGAATTATATGCATATCTTAGCTTATTATGTTTCTTATAATTCTTTTTTATTACGTTATATACACGTACACATACGTAGGTATCCACGTAAACAACGTAGAAGGAATGAATACGAATGCGAATGCAATGAGAGACATTTATTTTTCTAAAATTGTACGAAACAACACATACGTAGGTATCCACGTAAACAACGTAGAAGGAATGAATACGAATGCGAATGCAATGAGAGACATTTATTTTTCTAAAATTGTACGAAACAAGCATTTTCCAAAAGTTGATGTTACTGTCACTAAATTTTAGTGTAAGCTAATGCTAGCAAATTTGCTGGTAAAGCTTTTCGAGAATTGCAAAGCTTTCGAGAATCTTTTATTTCAACTGAGAGAGGCTTAATTAAGATTAGAATCTTAGTTTCTCATTGATATTTGATATCATGAGCGATTAAATCCTATATTTCTTTACTTTTTAAAGTTTCCTATTTTACTTAATCTAATAAAGTTCATTTGCCAATTAAATAATACTTTAACTAAAATCTCAGAAATTTTTCTTAAGAAGTTTATAAAAAGCAAGGTTTTCGGTTTTTTTTTTCTAACTTAACTTGATTAATTCTTCAAATTTACCAAACCCACAAAAGCAACAGGAAATACTTTATAGATAGAATATAACTTTTCCAATATTTCAGACTAATTCCAAGTTTCACGCTAAGCTGACAAAAATATTCTAAAAAAATATATAAGCATTCTTAAATAAGCAAAAAAAAAAAAAAAATTCTTAATTTTCGATTAGCATATTTTTTCTTCTTATCTTCTCTATCATCAATTGATAACTTTGATAAACATAAAGCCTTCTTCAGAAATAATAAAAGATGAAGGTGAAGAGATAGTAAATTTGATACGAAATAAATCACCTGATCAAATATCTCAATCAATTTCTACCACATATCAGTCTGTCGACGATTCAAAAGTATCTTTTCCTGAATTCATTTTTTGCAAAATGCTAATAGCATCAATAGAGGAGAGGAAAGCCGAGACAATTGATAAGATTTATATACATTTACTATTATACTGTTTGTCAATAGCATGCAGCATGCAGACATGCACTCAAATAATACATAAATTTGCAGCTTCATCATAAATTCAAAAAAAAATATATTTTTCCATATATTTTGCAGCAAGAAACAAATAAAGCAGAAGTAAAAACTAAATCTAATTTATGGACTATTTTGCAATTTGCACGCGGTGAATGGTTTTTGTTACTTTTTGCATTACTTTTTGCGCTTCTAAAAGGATTAATGTTTCCAACATTTTCGATTATTTATGGAGCAATGTTTCAGGTAGATGAATTTAATGAATTTTCATCGAATATTCAAAGCATTTTTTTTTTTATTCTTAATAAATTATGTGTAGCCAAGTGGTAAGGCAGCGGTTTTTGATACCGCCATGCGAAGGTTCGAATCCTTCTACCCAGTCGTATTTAATGGTGGTGTAAAATGATGTCACAGTTACCTTGCATTTTACTAATTTTACTACTTCCTATCATTTTTTTTCTCGATCCTAGTATCAAGCACTGGGGTGATAGAAGGGATAATGAAACTACTTTGCAGTCATTAGCAATGCAAACTGCAGAACAACGATTGCAAGAAGCTTTTGTAAATGCTATATATTTTATCATATTTGGTATCATTTGTGGTTTTATAACCTTCTTAGCAAGTTATTTGTTTGCTATTGCTGGTGAATCGCTTACCAAACGATTACGCATTGCAATATTCGCTAATATTGTTAATCAGGTATCGCAAGTATTTGTGTGTATGATAAAGTTATTTCCTTTGTTATTATCTATCGTTCCTTTTTTTTAAAGTTATTTTTTTTATTTCTATAATTTTTTGCTAGTAAGTATTATTTATGATATATTTGTTTTGTTGTAGTATTTATTATCGGAAGATGAAAGAGATTAATTAATTGGTGTAGGAAAATTTAAAAAGCAAATTGAGAATGTAGAAATAAAATAAAATAACATTTTCAGTTATTAAAAAAAAAAAATAATAAATAAATTATTTTCATGCTAAATTCAAGTTTACATTTGCAAATTAACTTCACATTTACTTTTTTACTTTTTTTTTTTTTTTTTTTAGGATGGTGAATACTTTGATTCATTGGATCATTCATCGGGTAATCTAATCACTAAATTATCCACAGATGTACCAAATATTCGTGCTGCAATTGATAACAGGTATTTACATACTAGTAAGTAAGTTACACCTAGAAAGTACTAGGATAGATTATATTTCAGATTAGCAGATGTATTACAAGCGATAATTTCCGTACTTGTTGGTATTGGTGTTGCATTTTATTATGGTCCAAAAATGGCACCAATAGGTGTTTTAACAACGATAGCACTAACATTTTGTCAAATAATTATTGCACAATATTTGAAGAAACGAGCCGAAAACGATGAAATGCTAACCCGTGAACCATTTCGGGTAATTTTAATATTTGCCTTTTTTTGTAAAATTTAAAAATTATTTATGGATATATTAATGAATATAAAATTTAAAATTATTTATGAATATAAAATTTAAAATTATTTTACGAATTATTTCATTGCACTAGATACTTTCAATAATTATAGCTTGCTGCAGAAGTATTAAAACATCATAAAACAGTACAATATTTAATGCGTGAGCGACATTTCTGCGATCAATTTAATCAAGAAATGCGAAAATCGCATAGCAAAAATTATCATCGTGGTATTGCTGAAGCATTTGCATTTGCGCTTCATTCATGTTTTGCATCTTTTAATTTTGCCGCAGCATATCGTTACGGTTTATGGCTTATAGAAATTGGAAGTACCACTCCATTTCAAATATTTCAGTAAGCTTTACAACTTATACCTTTTTTTTTTTTTTGCTATTACTTTTATCGTGGAGAATTTATTTAAAAAAAAAAAAGAAAATTACACCTTTTCAACAACATAACAAATTAATTCAAAACATTTGTTAATATTAAAAATAAGAAAACCAGAAAAAAAAATATACCATTGTTTAAATTTAAAATTAAATTTTAACATAAAGTAAATAAAAGTATAATCAATTTTAGTGATACATTAATATAAGAGCAAAAAAAAAAAAATGTTATTTTGAAATCAAACAGGTATACTTCTTATAGGGCGATTGAAACACTGAATGTTGCATCGATGAGTGTTTTAGCAATCGGAACTTATTTTCCGGAATATATACGAGCACGTACGTGTGCTAGTTTGATCTCTAAAATGCTTGCTGAAAAGCCAAAGATTAGCAGTTTGTCAGAAGGAAGATGTGAAGAAGTAATTCTTATCTGACATTTTATTATTTTTCATGTGAAAATTACACATTTGGTAATTATTCTTTTTTTTTTTCTCACCCATTTTTTTTATCCTTACTTACTTTTTTTCATATTAACTTTACTTAGTTAACTCATAGATGTGATTGTATAGAGTGATGACACCTGTCACCTGTCATTATAGGTAAAGAGATACAGTTAGTAAAAATTTAACATTTTTATTTCCTTCATGATTAATATTCTGCGAGAAATGTACAGTTAAAAATTATTTACTTTTCAAAACAAAAAAAAAAAAAAACATTATGATAATGAAAGATAGCATATCAAAGAAAAACATCGATCAGATGAATGATGATGATTGAAGTTTTTCGGCAAATAGGGAAATAAATATAAAAATAAATCATGAAATTATTACTATTTTTTTTTTTTTTTTATCAAACTCTTTCACAGGTATTGCAAGGTAACATTAAACTTGAAGATGTCCAATTTGCATATCCGGTAAATCGGAATTGTCTGGTATTGAAAGGACTAACAATGGAAGCGCTTAAAGGTAAAATGGTAGCTTTAGTTGGTTCAAGTGGTTGTGGAAAATCAACTGTTATTCAGCTAATTGAACGATTTTATGATCCAATCAGTGGCAAAGTTGTAAGTTTTTCTTACTGTAATAGCAAGCTAACTGTTGAGAGAGAGGAAATAATTTGGTATTAAAATATAGCTTAGGTAGATGAAATTAATTTTTAAACTGATCAAGGTATGAAAAAGTATCAGTATAGCTCAGATGGATGAAGTGAATTTTACAATTATTTGAATTTTTGAGTTATAAAGATTAGTTAGATAGAAAAGGTTATATTTTAGGTACGAAAATAGGTGAAAAGAGCTGAAATGAAAAGTGCTGAAATGAAATTTTAGAACTATTTGAATTTTTGGGTTACAAAGGTTAGATAGATAGAAAAGGTTATATTTTAGATACGAAAATAGGTGGAAAGAGCTGAAATGAAATTTTAGAATTATTTGAATTTTTGAGTTATAAAGATTAGTATTAGAAATAACTGATTTTCAAGTAGTTTGCTACTTTCAGAGAATTTTCGTTGATTTGAAATTTTAGATGTATGACAATACTGATGTTCGTTACTTGAATCTTTACAATATTCGAAATCAAATAGCTTTAGTAAGCCAAGAGCCAGTCCTATTTAACTATTCAATTCGTGAAAATATCGCTTATGGTTTAAATGATATCAGTCAAAGAGAGATCGAAGAAGCTGCAAAACAAGCTAATGCTCATGATTTCATTATGAAAATGAAAAATGTATGCTTCCTTTATTACTTTTTTTTCTTGGGTATTTATCAAATTAAATCTTTCAAATTTTTCAAATTATTAATTTTCAAATTAAAAAATTTCAAATTATTAAATTTGCCCATCTGTTCAATTAAATTCAATTTAAATTAGGGTTATGATACAGTGGTCGGTGAAAATGGTGCTCATTTGTCCGGTGGTCAAAAGCAACGCATTGCTATTGCACGAGCTATTGCACGAAATCCAACAATACTTTTGTTAGATGAAGCAACCAGTGCTTTAGATGCTGAAAGCGAAAAAGTTTGATTTCAAAAAAAAATTTGAAAATTTTTAATTAACTCAAAAATTTTCTTTCTCTCTTTTTTTTTTTCAAATATGAATTTCATTTTTTTTTTTTTTTTGATCGAAAATAGTTTATTAGATGGTGCAAGAAGCATTGGAAAGAACTTGTTATGGTCGAACATGCATTGTTATAGCACATCGTTTATCAACCATCCAGAATTCAGATCAAATTTTAGTTATGAATCATGGTGCTGTAATCGAATTTGGTACTCATGAAGAGTTACTTCGTTTCAATGGTCTTTATGCTAATCTTATTGAAATGCAAAATCTTCAATAGTTGTAATTTTTGTAAATTTTTTTTTTTTTGTTTTATCACATTTTCTGCTTGCGACAAAAATATAAAATATTTGTCGCAAACAAAACAAAACAAAACAAAAGCACCGATGGAGACACAAAGGAAAATATTTTGTGTAATATTTTCTCATATCATATCTTCTCATATCTCTCATCTCCTAATTATTTCTTCAATTGATGTAAAATAATTTCTTTATGAAAATAAAATAAGAAATTTTCTGTATGAAAATATATACTCTACAAATTAACCTTTTAACAGTTTAAATTATCAAAAAGATTAAGACAGTATCATGTGAGATCGTTTATTTGTTTTTAATTTCATTATGCAGAAAAACAAAATTATCAGAAAAATTATTTCGAAACGATTACTTCACAAATTTTTACATGTTCAAATTAGTCTCTCGAATAGATCTCTCGACTTAGCATGAATTGGTGAATCTCGTTGTAGCATACGCCAATTTGCTGGGCGGTATTGTAGTGGATTAAGCGGTCTGTAAGCGGTTGGTGCACCTTCAGCTACTGCTCTACCAAATTGAGTATTTCCGTTACTCGACACTTGTCTAAGTTAGAAGTTAGACTTGAAATGTTAGAATTTTAATATCATCAATTTTTCAATCTAAATATAAAGTACCAACTGAATTTGATTTTCTACTTATTTACTAGAAGTTTATTTTGAGTGAAGCAAAGAAACACACGAAATGTTTTGAAATTGATCTAAATTAACCATTATGAAAGAGCTAACAATAGCTACTATTCAGGTACCACTAAGTACCATCAGAATCTAATCTTTACAGGTGTGCAATTCCCCACCTGAAATGATATACCATTCTATTACTCATTAAGTTTCTCAGTAATGATTCTCATAAAAGTGATCTCAGCCATAAAAGAATGTCATACTTTTGCACGGTGGCTGACCGTTGTATCTGAGATGTCGCGGTCGATCTATCAGAAATACCTGTGGTCTTCGGACATACTACTCGATAAACCCAAATCCGTACGCCACCTCTGAAAGTTTTCTATTCAATTTATTTTAATTAGTTGAAAAACTTTAAAAAAAAAAAAAAACCTAAACATAATTTTTATAAATCATACTGTTCAGTGCGAACATTCGAAATGAAGTCAAATTCAGGTCCTTCCTTACTATAAAGATCTTTCGGATCTACCATTCCACCGGTGTAATATGATCCAAGTGATACCAAATCTGTACCAATGTATAGTTTACGTGGTACCGAAATTATACAGCAACGTTGTAGAATGCTAAAACTATCTCTCTTAAATTTACTAATCAAATTTTAAGCAAAAAAAAATTAAGTAAAAAAAAAGAATAATAAACAATTTAGCTCTGTTGAGCAAACAGAACGATGTAATCCACAAATTTGATAACAATTAAAATTTCACACATTTAAATTCTATGGAAAATACTGAATTTCAATAGCCGAAATTACTAACTGAAAAAAATTAATCAAAGAAAGATTTGTCTTTACATGATGAATTGTTAAGAATTAAAATAGAAACAAATTCTACGGACGTATTACTTTCATATTAAAATGTACCTCTGTCCATTGGATGCCCATTTCATACCGGAAAATGTATCAGTTTCAGCTCGGCAACTTGCCTGATTATCTTTGCATTGAGTACCGGATATACCGCACGGTAGCTTATTGCATTCCGCTTCAATCGCTCCATCTTCATAAACTGTTAATTTCGTTATTACCTTTAATAAACAAATTTTTTATAGCAAAAAGAATTTTTATTTCTGCTAATTCTAAGCAAACAATCTTTTGTTCAAACTGATATATCCATGCGATGACATCAAATAGAGAGAAATATTCAGAAGATTCTTCTATCAATGCAACCTGTACGGAGTGATATGATATGATATGATATCAGTGAAATGATTAATGCTGATAACTTTCAGAATAGTTTAGTTTATCTGTTAAACTTCATTCTATTTTATTATTGTCACCAATTTTCTTAACATTTTTCTAAATCAAAATTGTTGACAAATTTCGATTTATAATTCAATAAATGATAAGTTAAAGATGAAAAAGCAATTTTATAGCTGTAGATAAAAATAAATTGTGCTTAATTTTTTTTTTTTGATGAAATTTAAAAGAAACGAAATTATTTAAAAAAAAAAATGAGATTAAAATTTTTGAATTTTTACAATCTAATATAATATAGGATAAATAAATGAATTTCGGTCATTTTTTTTTTCTCCGATAATTAGCAAAATTTCTTATCCTACTATATAAATCATAAATATTCAGTTTTATTTTATTTTATAAAAATTATTTTATCATTCTCTTTCAAAATTATATCTATAAAACTTACAAGATTACATCTGTAAACTGTTTTCATCAAATATTTATTATCTAAAGAAAAAAAAAAAAGTATTTAGAGCAACCTGATATCTATCTATTTGATAATTTGATAATAAATGAACTGATTATAGGAAGGATAAAAAAACGGTCGAAAAAAAAAAAATGGTACCTGATTAGGTAAACATTTGACACCCATTGTTGGTTGTAGGTGATTATTGTTAGCTTCGAGAGCTACAGATAATGATAAGAAGCAAAATACCTGATAAATGCTAATATAGGACATTATAGGATAGAACAGCTCAAAAAGTAGTTCTGATTTGAATAATAATATTTTGCTGAAATATGAAGAAGTAACTAAAAGATGAAAGAGGCGGACAGAAAACAGTTCAACCACCTCTTGACCTAAATGATCGTTCTGTACAGGTGCTACCCTCTCATAAATTAGGAAGGTAGTAATTTCTAATCTTGTTATCATCTAACTTTTTTTTTTTTTTCTTATCATAAAGAAATGTCATATGAAATGATCCATTATAATGGATGATGAAGTTGTGATTTATGAAAAATAATCACAAAATGATAAAAATAAGAAAATTATTATCATCGTTTATTTATTTTTCTTTCTCTCTTTTTTAGTGCAAAAAAAAAAGCAAAATGCATTATGGATAATCGTTTATTCATTTCAATCTTTAAATTTTAAATATTTTTTTTGTTAAAACTGCCAAAAAAAAAAAAAAAAAAAAATTAACCCACTTACGATATAATCAACTCTTCTTCCATTCTTGTCAATTTACATCATGTATTGATTCAAAAAATTTTTCAAAATAAAGCTCAAAATTAGAAGAAATTTTTTTAGATTTTATTTACATTTGAAATACATAAATTTGTATAATTCTTTAATTGACAAAAGAGGATGTTATTTTTAAAATGTTATTTTTATTTTTTAATTTTTCAAATTAATTTTTTTTTTTCAAATTTTTCAAAAAAAAAAAATGTTATTTTTAACTTTCAAATTTATTATTCACTTTGAAAAGAAAATAAACAACAAAACAAGTAAAGTGTTATTACAGAGAAAAATGAAGCCTTTATATGTGAACTTCAACTTTTCAATTTTAATCTACAAAAATTTGGTATAATCCAATTTATAAATCTGATTACACAGATCAATCAATATGATGTGATAGTTAAAAGTTAAAAGGTTTAGTAAACTTCATGCAAATTCATAGTTTCTATTCCTAACTTAAGCAATCTAATTTAAAGATTTAAGTTAAAGAATCTTTGAATTTAAAATTTTTAATCCTAAAAATGCTTCATATTGTCAACAAACCAATTTATCTCAATTATCTTATTGCCTTAATAAACAATTTTTTTGTTCAATAATTGCTTTGTTAGTACAGATTTAACTTTAATTTTGCAATTAAAAATTTTGAACTGTTATCATTGGAACCAATAAATTCCATTTTGTACTATTTCATAAACTTTTGAAAACAATAATATTTATGCTTATCAAAAAAAAAAAAAAAAAAAGATCAAATTTTATTTTCTAATAATCACAATACTCTACATGTTTACTTAATGTAAACAAATATCAATGGCAAATTTAAATTTCAATTAAGTAAAAGCAAAAGGTCAGTTGATGTAAGCTATTATTACAAAATTTTATTAAAAATTTAATTGCTCAAATTTCAAGCATAGAAGATTAATTGTGAGAAAAGATATTACTTTAATAATACTTACATTAGAATTAGAAATATAATAAAAGATATCTGACACTGATACAATATTCTTCTTTCCTTTTTTAAATATAATCGCTATCAACTAGGTCGGAGCATTTTTGCAACAAATAAAATATTTTCAATCTTTTTTGCTGATTCCATCTGAAATTATTCATTAAAAATACTTTCAGATGTAATACCATTGTGATAGCACAATGATTTTTATGACATTTTCTTTGTTATCATTTTTTTTTTTTTTAAATTTTAAAAATTTTTTTTATTAATACCTGACACCATTAACAAATGATTTTAAGCATACATTTATCAATTTTTGCCCGTTCAGGTAGTAATTCTCATTGTCTATCGTGCTAAATTTTTTTTTTTTTTTTTCTGATTTTATTTTTAATTGAATTGTCCTATTTTTTGTTTGAAGGTTTTGTGTTAATCAATGTCATTCTAGTAATTGTCATTGAATTGTCACAGCTCCTCCATCTTTATACCAATTTTAACGCTTAGCATTTTTTTTTTCCTCTTTTATTAAAAAGTTTTGTTTAAAATTGCATCACATTTGCGCCATTTCTGCTTCTTTAAAATTGCATCACATTTGCGCCATTTCTGCTTCTTTAGCTAATAAAAAAAATTATGCAAATGATGAATAGAAATTAATTTAACATATTTACATGCATTTAAAATTTTTGAAATATTTTCAGGACAGAATGAAATTGTTTAAAATAGCTTTGCTTGCAACGCTAATGCAAATAATTAAAACCGATGTTAGTAGATTGTAAAATTCATTGTTTTATTTATTAATTTTGAATTTGATAGTTTCAAAGAATAGTAATCACAGTTAAGTGATAATTGCTACTGTTATTTTCATAAAATTTTCAATTTAAATTTTATAAGATTGAATAAAAAAGAAAAGAATTATGCATTTCTTTTATTCATTTCAGATTTATAAACAAATTTATTTTCATTTCCAATCAATCATTCATTTTTTTTTAGAATCAAGAAGATATGAATGAGAAAACAATGAACGAAAATTTAACACTTTTGGATGATTGTGAAGAAATAATGGAACTGGATGAATCAGGTTTTATGATAGATTTTAAAAATTGAATTATTAACTTTTGATGCATACATTCTTTGTTTGAAATTTTAATACTCTCACAAATAATTTAACATATTTTTAAGTGTTTTCACATTTTAATTTGAAAAAAAAAAATTTTGTAAAAGAAAAAATTCTTTATTAGATAAAAAAATTTCCATTTTTATAACTAAGATTTATGTATTAATTAAAAAAAAAAAAATTTATGTCACAGTGATGATTGGTTATAGAAAATACAAAAAAAAATTTTTTTTTTTTTTTCAGTAGAGCAGCAGATAGTACCTGAAATATTAGCGGTGAAAACTTCTCGAAATACAGAAAATTCTCGAAATACAAAAATTTCTCGAAATACAGAAAATTCATCTGTAATCAATGACAAATTCTTCGATACGAAAACATCGAATGATGGTGACATTTCAATTTCAATGTATTTTACAACAATTTTTCCAAATTCAAAAAAGAGACATTTGTCATCAGAAAAGATTGAAGTGACAAATCTATTTGTACCAACTGAAATGTCTTCAAAAAGTAGAAAATAATAATTTGAAATGTCTTCAAAAGTAGAAAATAATTTGAAATGTCTTCAAAAGTAGAAAATAAAAAAAAAAATTAGAAAATAATAATTTTGAAAAATGTTAACATCAATCAGCTATCAGTAATTTCAGAATTCATTAAACCTTTCACTTCGTCACAATCACAAACAAATGAAATGGATAAAATGAATAATTCTACTACAGCTAATATCATATCATTAACAGTAAATGATATAATGAATGCTTCACTTAATTCAAAAATTGATAAAACATTTGAAATACAATTATCAGTGGATAAAAATGATAATAGAAATGAAACAGACATATCAATGATCGATTCGATATATCTAACTGAGGTTGTCTAATTTTTTTTTTTTTTTTAATTGTAAAATGATTAATCAAAATTTTGCAAATGAAAATTTCAAATTTAAAATTTTATTCTTCAATTAAAAGTGAAAGAATGTTTCATAGTTGAATTTTAATTTGAAATAAAATTTGAAAAAAAAAATTGCATATGCTTTAATAATAATAAAATATTTAGGAAGAAAGCATAACTTTTTGTCAAAAAACACTTACTTGTGAGGAAAAATTGAAATGGCATGAATTGATGTGTCAACGAAAATATGCATATCCAAATTTAATCATTGGTTCATTTCATTTTTAAATATTTAACGATTAATATTATCATTGCAAACTTTTATATTATCAGTGATTGAGAATTAGATCAAAATTTCTTGATCAATTTCTTGATCAAGAAATTTTGATCAATTGCAACTATCAGTTTTCTGAAAGAGTATTGAGGATTCACTTTGAGAGAATAAGGAGAACAACGATTAATCAAAAATTAATATAACATTTAAATGAAAATATTCTCAAAGAATCTTTTTCGATTGAAATAATATTAAAATTTTCATACCGTTATGAATATTTCTTCAAAAAGTTTATGAAACTTTTTTAGACTTTGCCAATTCTTAGTTAGATTTAATTGCAAAATATTATTGGAATTGTCACAAATTAGCAAATATTAAAATAATAGTAGCAAATTTTAAACCAAAATTTTGAAATTTTGAATCAATTAGCATTGAGTAATGAGTTAATTAAATTAAGCAATCTTAATATATTAGATTTTTGGAATTTTACACTTTCTCAAACAGTATTAAAATCTGATCAAATTTTGATCTGCTATAGAGTCTGAAACGAAACTATTTGATATGTCCGTTCAATCCGAATTTATTATTAATTCCGAAGTTGCAAATGTAATGGAATCAGTATCCAAAGTATGTTTGAGGCCAATAACAAGTGATATTCTACGACAGGTATTTGATTAAATTTGCATAAAATTTGTCACTTTCTGTTTAAAATCTATTTCATTTATAACAATAACCTTCATTCATTTTATTGCAGCTCTCAAAACTTTTGCGTAAAATGGAATTAAATCGTAAATTATGTATGCGTCAAACTATTTCCAGTCAGAATCCACTTCCAATCAATAATGTAACATTTTAATTTCTAAATAAAATAAGCAAAATTAAAAGCAAAAAAATGATGATGTCACCTTTTAACTTTTTTTTAAATGATGTGATATTTCAGCTAGTAAAAGTATGAAAAAAAGTTTTAAAAAAAAAGTACAAAAAAGTAAACCTTTTAACCTTTTTTTTTTAAAAAATGACCTGATATTTCAATTAGTAAAAGTATGAATATAAGTAAAAGTATACAAGTAAAAGTATGAATTTTTAATTAGAGATAGTATTAAGATATTGCTTTAATGCTCTTCAAACTTTTAAACGTCAAATGATTGGAAGAGTAAAGTAGGTAAACAAGTAAACTATTAGATAAAGTATATTTATTTATCATTCTCTATGCAAACATATAAAAAACAATCAGATAGATCAAATTAACAATGGATGTATACAAGTTTTATAACCACAATTAAAACTTCAGAAAATGATCTGTGAAAAAATGGTGACAGATGACATTCTCAATGGGACAAATGATGTTGACAAGTGTAAATTTAATAATTTGGAAACACGACAAAATGCTCTTGACTATTGCAGAGCTATAACAGCTCCAATGCGAAAACAATGTACAACATTGAGACAATGTTGTCCAAATTATGCAAGGTAAGTATCAGAAAATATAATTTTGCTTAAGTAACGTTGAAATTGAAATTGTGACAAATATGTTCAGATATAATTTTATTTTGAGATAAAAGCAAATTGTGATAAATTAGGCTGAAAAAGGTAATATGTACGTATAGTTTATAGCTAATTAACATTTTTGTTCAATATTAATAAGTTCAAAAGTCAAAAGTATTCACAACTTATTTATTATTTTGTATAATTCATTCCATCGTAGGTTTTTTTTTTTTAAATTTGGAAAATCTTAAATTTAATATAAATTTCATTTTTGCCATATTTCAGTTGTACAGAACTAATGTTGGAAATGAATACATCAAAAAAGTATGAAGAATTATTGAAGCATACAAAACAGATACAAAGTAATTGTGAAAAAAAGATTATGGCAACATTACAGTCACTTCATTCTGCTTTCTTACCTTTTACCTGATAATAAATAAGAAAGTATTGATGATTACTTGTAATTGCAGGTGGGTAAGAAGACTGATAAGTAATTATGATAATCAAATGATTCTGTATGTATCATTAGAGAATTTTTGATATGAATAGGTAGATGATGAGAAAGAAGTTCGATGACAAAAATATATTACCAGGAAAGTTTGTCTAATTTTGTATCATATCAAAATAAAAGATCAACAAATTCATGTAGATTGAGTAGCGATCGAATTTATGTGATACGGTGACAAAAGGTAGAAGTTAATAAGATTCTCAAATAGATTCAAGCAATTACTCCAAACCTTTAAAAAGTATAATATACTATAAACGAGTGTAATGTATGAAGTATAAAGTATTGAGTATAATATATAAAGTATAATAGTGTAAAATATAAAGTATAGAGTATAATATATAAAGTATAATAGTGTAAAGTATAAAGTATAAAGTATAATATATAAAGTATAAAGTATAAAGTATAATGGTGTAAAGTATAAAGTATAAAGTATAATAGTAAAAGTATAAAGTATAATATGCTGTCCACAAAGCTAATATGATAAGAGTAATTATGGAAACATTTCCATATTTTTAAAATCTTGCAAAAGCTTCAAATCTGTATGCTATTGAATAGCAAACTTTAAAATTATTTAAAATTTCTCCTAATTAAACAACTTGCATCAGAAAATCAGAAAGATTTTAATTAGTGAAAATTATTTATCGAAATGCTTTGAAACCTAAAAAAAAAACTTGCAATAGTTATTTTGATAAAGCCTTATCAATGGTATCAAATCTTATCAGATATTTGCAATATGTTTTGATGTATCTTCTAGTGCACCGAAGCATTAAGAAAATCATTTTAGTAAAAGTGAAGGAAGAAAAAAAAAAAAGAAAAGAAAATTTTCTTAAAGTGATTTCTGGAAAAAGATATGCATTAATATTGATAAGTTACTGATAAATCAATTGATAAGATTATTAATTAGGAAAAATGATAACAAAAGATTAGCAAAAGATTAATTAACATTTAGATTAACACATCTGCTACAATTACTTACTAACGTGAAAAGGTTAGTATCACTAAGCAATTTCTATTGGACATTTTTTTTTTTTTTTTTGCTAGTTTTCATTTTATTCAATTTAGTTTAATTTTTTTTTTTTTTTTTTATTTAAAGGAAATTCTTCTCATTGCAAAAAATAAATTTCCATAATTCCAATGATTTCATTTTCAATGAAATTTTCAACAAATCATCACCATCTCTCTTAGTTTATTCAATCATTTGCATTTTCTTTTTTTTTTTTTTAGACTGTCAGAATTTGAGATTTTAGCAACTTTTCATGTTTTCTTAGTTTAACGATAGGTAATTTTAGAACAAATAACATTGTTGTATGTGTAATATGAGGAATATTTTTAGAACTTAAAAATTTAAAAAAAAAAAAAAAATTTTAAATAAAAAAACAAGATAAAAGCATTATAATTATGTATGAGCAATGAATTTAGGAACAGTAAATAAAATGTATGAACAAAAAAAGCAAAATGCTTAGGTAATGATGCATTTTTCAAAGAGTATTTCAGAGTAAATAGAAATATTTAAAAGTATTTCATATGGAAGAAGAAATAATCAAAATTTTTCTTAATTTAGAAACTTGTATTTTAATAAATAAAACAGACCTGAATTGAGGATTGAAATTTTGAGTTTCTATGATGTGAAACAATTAGGAAAATGAATGTAGACTAAACAGAACTGAAACTAATGTTCATTCTTGAATATAAAAAAATAACCTGAAAATAGTATTCGATACATTTTCGCCTAATTTTCCTTGTCTTGGCAAGCATAATTTTTATTAATTTTACCTGGACATCCAGGTAGGTGAAAGGACATTAACCGAGAGAACACTGTCCGTATAAATTGATGGCGAAAATGCATTCGGTGATAAAATTTGACCACCTAATGCTTGTGGTGAAATAATATCTGGGCTAAGAATATATGGACTGAGAATTAATGGACTTAACACATATGGATTGATAATATTTGGTGATAAAACATAAGGTGATAAGATATATGGTGCACCAACAAGTGGTGATAAAATATAGGGAGAGAGTATGTAAGGTGAGATAAGAAAAGGAAGGAAAACACCGGGAGAAAGAATATATGGACTAAGAATAGATGGATTTAAAATTAATGGACTGAAAATGCTAGGTGATAGTACCACTGGTCCTAAAATACTAAGACCAAAAGTTGGTGAAAACATAAATGGTGCCAAAATGGTTGCTGGAAGTATTGGTACTGTTTCACGTTTATTTCGATATCGTTCCTAAAAAAGTACACTTTTTTTTTTTTTTTTTTAAATTGAATTTTAGATTATTTATTAATTTCCTACAAAATAATAATTGTAATATAAAATTAAATAGCAAATAATTAAATTCGTTATTTTAGTTTAAGTCAAATACTAATGAAAATAGTTGTCAATGTATCAATTTAATATCTTTTTTTTTTTTCTTTTTTTTTAACTCTAACTTTTATTAATCAGTAATTTAATTTCTTCTACAAATAAATTTCTGCTAAATTTTTCATTTTTCAATAAATTTTTTGCTTCTAATTAATACTATTATATTGATTTGAAAAATTTTAAAAATAAAATTTTCTTTTTTATTTTCTTACATTTTCGTTACTTTCTACTCTCTTCCATTTACCTTATGCTACAGTTATACAACAACACATTCTAGTATTTTCTAGAAAAAAAAAAAAAAAACAAATTTATAATTTTTGTCAACCTCAGTTTTATTTTCTGCAATTCGTTCAATATTCTTCCATAACATTTCTTCTTGCTCTTTTCTATTAAGTTGTTCATAATTTTTCAAATTAAAATTCACATCATTCAATTCATTAACACCTGCAACAATCTTTCATCTTTTTAAATTTGTCATATATTTTGAAAAAGAGAATTTATCTGATTGATAAAAAAAAAAAAAAGAAAAATGAAAAAAACCTTGCTGATGAAGTATTTGTTTCAGTTGTGATACTTCTAGAAATGTAAATCCTCTACTTTTCATATCATTTTTTTGTTCAATACTAAATGATTTTTTCAAATCTTTGAATGCTTCATTAATTCTCTTCGTTGTCTGCAAACATTTAAATAATATATCATTTCTATGCAAAAAAAAAAAAAAATTTGATAATTTAAATTTTAGAATTTTTAATTGCACAAATCTATCTTTGATGTATCTTTTTTTTTTTTCAGATATTTTTTTTTTGTATCTCTTTGAAATTTATCTTTTTTTTTAGGATTGAACAAATTTTTTGATATCTTTGATAATTTCTTTTCTAAAATAGCACAAATTTATGCTAATATCTCAAAGTATAGAATTTACCAACCTCAAAAATTATATCATCCAAATCGAAAACATTTGTTTTATTGAGGACATCAAGAGTCATTTCGATGGCAATATGCGCTCCTGAAACATCCATGATCATTTCTAGCACTGCTTGCCTGTCTTTTTCCGCCATACCACTTTTTTCCAATAACTGAAAACAATCATTCAAATGTTCATAACACAACGTACAAACAAATAATTAAGCACTGGAATTAAAAAATAAAAAAAAAAAAAAAAAAACGGAATTGAAATTAAAATTGACAGTTTTTTAAAATTTGAACAAATTAAAATAAATAAATAAAGTGACCTTAGGAAGAGAGATAATATTGTCCGGACTATCATCTTTATAAAATGACATAATGGATGGTGACAAAACGCGTTTTTCGGATTGCATCTAAAAATAACCTTCATCAGTGATTGAAAAAAAAAAAAAAAAAATTATGTAAGAAAATGAAATTCAAAAAAATTATAATTTAATTATTTTTTTATTTTTTGTTTATTTTTAAGAAACAAAAATGAAACCTTATCAGGCATCACAGGCATTACTCGAGGACTTAAAAAACGAAAATTGAGATTATTTTTGCCATTTTCATTAATTCCATTTAGAAGATCAAATGCCATCGAGAGAAAATCCTTATATTTTGACTAAAAATATACTCTATCTTATATTTACAAGAAAAATATACTTTGTTTTTAATTTCATATTTGTTTTACAATAATGAATAAGAAATTAAGCAAAAATTTTGAAAAATACAATCTTCAAAGGATTGATAATACTAGTAAACATTACTTTTTAAAAGTATTACAAGTATTTTTGTACTTGATTATCTTTTAGTAATTTAAATAGATATGCAAAATACTTGAACTTTTGCTCTGCTACATTTCTGGTTACCGAGTACAAGATCGAAAAGTCGAAGATTGTAGACTTTTGCGCTGCTTTCTTCCCATTGCTGATCCATTTGTTTTTTAATTTGGGTTATGTGTTCATAAGTTTTCATCCAATTAGCATTTGCTTCTTTTCCACTTAGCATAACACTGATAAATTTAGCCATCTGAATTAAACAATATTCTTTCAATTTTTATCACTAATCAAAATTATCATATAACAATTGTAGTGAGTACTGATAACATTATCAATTATCAGTGCTAACCTGTTGTACGGGAGTTTTCTTAACAGTGGAATCGTGCATTGCTGGCATTTTATCAACTTGCTTCACCTAAACAAAACAACAAAACAATTAGAAAATAAGCCAAAAATACAATTTTTATAAATCTGATAAGTAAATAAATAAACAAAAGTTTTCTTTCACATAAACAAAATTGAAAATTTCATTCTTCATTTCGTTTTTAAGATATAATTCACAATTTTTGAAATTCTTTGTAAGTTTTTCTTCTTTTTTTTTCTTCACTTGATAAATTGAAAGATATGTGCGATAGGAAGAATTGAATTAAAAAGCTAATGTAATCACTTACATCAATAATTAAGTTATCACTTTTGATAGCATGATTTGTGATAAGTCGATAAGAACGACGTCGTCGTTGCCATAATTTTTTTTTTCGAATTTTTGATAGAATAGAATTTGAAGATAATTTTTTGCTCTGTTCCGATGAATTGCTGGATGCAAAAA